AAAGGAAAAATGCAATACAATATCCACACAGGGAGGAACAACTTAAGAACCAATACGTAAAAAAAAAAAACAGGAGCCGGTTACATACTATTACAGTTGGAAACAGGTAGGTTGACAATAGGACGACAGTAAACATAGACAAGATCGCAGAAGTCTTACCTGGTGAAAAAAACAACCCGAAGCTGCCCACAAGGGGAGGGACAACCTGGCCACAAGAACACGAACGAAAAACAACCACCGCACAAACCAGTTGGGGCCACTGGGTTGAAAAGTGGGAACGGCGTGATACAGTCGGGCATCAGGTAGGTGGAAATACTCAACAGGGGATCATAGAAATAGATCGGGCAGCAGCAACGCTTCCGGTACCTGCACTCACGAAACGCGGGAAGCCTGATCAGAGGCAAGGAGGAGGGGCCCCTGGGAGAACCCGTGACAGAAACTCAGACTCCTGGAGTGGACCAGCTACCACCGGCCTGAGGAGAGACACATGGAACGAGGGGTTAATACGATACTCAGGAGGAAGCTGTAACCTATAACATACCTTGTTCAATCTCCTCAGGACTTTGAATGGCCCCACAAACCGCCGACCCAGCTTCCGGCAGGGCAGGCGAAGGGGCAGGTTTCGGGTTGAGAGCCAGACCCGGTCCCCCGGTGCATACACCGGAGCCTCACTGCGGTGGCAGTCGGCGCGCACCTTCTGCCACCCAATGGCCCGCTGCAGGCGCACATGGGCAGCGTTCCAGGTCTCCTGCGAGCGCCGAAACCATTCATCCACCGCAGATGCCTCGATCTGGCTCTGATGCCAAGGTGCCAGAACCGGCTGATAACCTAAAACACACTGGAATGGAGTAAGGTTAGTGGAGGAGTGGCGGAGTGAGTTTTGGGCCATCTCTGCCCAGGGGAGGAAAAACCGACCACTCCCCCCGCCGGTCCTGGCAATACGACCTCAGAAACTTACCCACCTCCTGGTTGACTTTCTCCACCTGCCCGTTACTTTCGGGGTGAACCCCTGAGGTTAGGCTGACCGAGACTCCCAGACGTTCCATGAACGCCCTCCAAACCCTCGAGGTGAACTGGGAACCCTGATCAGATACTATATCCTCAGGTATCCCATAGTGCCGGAAGACGTGTGTAAATAGGGCCTTAGCAGTCTGTAGGGCCGTAGGGAGACCGGGCAGAGGAATGAGGCAGCAGGACTTAGAAAACCGATCCACAACGACCAGGATCGTGGTATTTCCTTGTGAGGGGGGAAGATCTGTCACGAAATCCACCGATAGGTGGGACCACGGTCGTTGTGGAACGGGTAGGGGTTGCAATTTCCCTCTGGGCAGGTGTCTAGGAGCCTTACACTGGGCGCACACCGATCAGGAGGAAACATAAACCCTCACGTCCTTAGCTAAGGTGGGCCACCAGTACTTCCCACTAAGACAATGCACTGTCCGACCGATACCAGGATGACCAGAGGAGGGTGACGTGTGAGCCCAATAGATCAAACGATCGCGGACCTCCAGCGGGACGTACACACGACCCTCTGGACACGCTTGTTACGCAACGCCCGCTTGATGTCGGCGTCCACCTCCCACACCACCGGTGCCACCAGACACGACGCCGGAAGTATGGGAGTGGGCTCCACGGAACTCTCCTCCATGTCATACAGTCGGGACAGAGCATCTGCCTTAGCATTCTGGGAGCCTGGCCTGTACGAAAGGGTGAAACAAAAACGGGTGAGAAACATTGACCACCTTGCCTGGCGAGGGTTTAATCTCTTCGCCGCCCGGATGTACTCCAGATTGCGGTGGTCAGTCAAAATGAGAAAAGGGTGGTTAGCCCCCTCAAGCCAATGTCTCCATGCTTTCAGGGCTTGGACCACAGCCAACAGCTCCCGGTCCCCCACATCATAGTTGCGCTCCGCCAGACTGAGCTTCTTAGAAAATAATGCACAGGGGCAGAGCTTGGGTGGTGTGCCCGAGCACTGGGAAAGTACAGCACCTATCCCAGCCTCCGACGCGTCCACCTCAACCGTGAAAGCCAAGGAGGGATCTGGATGAGCCAGCACTGGAGCCGAGGTAAACAGGTTCTTCAGATGATTGAACGCCCTGTCCGCCTCAGCTTACCACCGCAGACGCACCGGTCCCCCCTTCAGCAATGAGGTAATGGGAGCCGCTACCTGACCAAAGCCCCGGATAAAACCTCCGGTATTAATTGGCAAATCCCCAAAACTGCTGCACCTCCTTCACCGTGGTTGGAGTCGGCCAATTACGCACGGCCAAAATGCGGTCACTCTCCATCTTCACCCCAGACGCGGACATGTGGTACCCTAGGAAGGAGATGGACTCCTGAAAGAACAGGCATTTCTCCGCCTTGGCATACAGGTCATGCTTCAACAGTCGTCCAAGTACTTTACGCACCAGGGACACATGCTCGGCCCGTGTAGCGGAGTATATGAGAATGTCATCAATATAAACCACTACACCCTGTCCGTGCAGATCCCTGAAAATCTCATCAACAAAGGCTTGGAAGACTGATGGAGCATTCATCAACCCGTATGGCATGACGAGGTACTCATAGTGTCCTGAGGTGGTGCTGAAAGCCATCTTCCACTCATCTCCCTCCCGAATACGCACCAGATTGTACGCGCTCCTGAGATCCAATTTTCAGTGATTTTCAGTGATTCCGTCATACATGCTATCAGAGGTAAGGGATAGCTGTACTTGACAGTGATCTGATTAAGCCCACGGTAATCAATGCACGGGCGTAACCCACCATCCTTCTTCTTCACGAAAAAGAAACTTGAGGAAACAGGTGAAGTGGAGGGCCAAATGTATCCCTGTCTCAGAGATTCGGAGACATATGTTTCCATAGCTGCCTTCTCCGCCTGTGACAGAGGATACACGTGACTCCGGGAAGTGCAGCGCCTACCTGAAGGTTTATCGCACATCCCCCGGACGATGGGGTGGTAATTTAGTCGCCCTCTTTTTACTGAAGGCGAGAGCCAAATCGGCTTACTCGGAAGGTATGTGCACTGTGGAGACCTGGTTTGGACTCTCCACCGTAGTACCCCCAAGGAAACCCCTACACACCTCCCTGAGCACTGACTGGACCATCCCTTGAGAGCCCTCTGTTGCCAGGAAATAGTGAGATCATGAGTGGTTAACCAGGGAAGTCCCAACACCACAGGATATGCAGGAGAATCAATCAGATAGAGACTAATCCTCTCCTCATGATAGTCCTGCATCCTCATTAAGAGTGGTGCGGTAACCTCCCTGATTAGACCTGACCCTAGCGGGCGACTATCTAATGCGTGGACAGGGAAGGGCACATCAACACGAACAGTAGGAATCCCTAAACTATGAGAATATTGACGATCAATAAAATTCCCAGCTGCGCCTGAATCTACTAGCGCCTTATGCTGGGAATGAGGAGAAAACTCCGGAAACACAACCTCTATACACAACTGACCAACAGGGAGCTCTGGGTGAGTCGGGTGCTTACTCACCTGAGATGGTCGACAAGTGCTCTGCTTACTGCCTCGACTCTCTGGGGACCCTCCCCAGCACCGACCCGCAGTGTGTCCTCTGCGGCCACAGTTGGTGCAGGGGACGGCCCCTCTCCTGGTCTCCCTAAGTGCAGCACCTCCGAGCTCCATGGGGGTAGAGTCGGAGGTGCTGGGGGATGGAATGAATGAGCCCTGATCAGAACGTCCGCGGGTCTCCAACAGGTTATCCAGCCTGATGGACATCTCCACCAGTTGGTCCAGGTTGAGATTAGTATCCCTGCCGGCCAGTTCCCGCCAAACGTCCTCCCTTAGGCAGCACTGATAGTGGTCGATCAGGGCCCTCTCATTCCATCCGGCGCTGGCTGCCAAAGTCCTGAACTCCAGTGCAAAATCCTGGGCGCTCTCCTGTCTTAGGTGGAACAGACGCTCGCCGCCGCTCTCCCCTCCGGTGGATGATTGAACACCGCCCGGAAGCGGCGGGTGAAATCCTCGTAGCGGACCAATGTAGCGTTAATTCCTCCCCACTCAGCGTTGGCCCACTCGTGCGCCTTACCCGACAGACAGGAGATGAGGGCGGACACGCTCTCGTATCCCGAGGGCGCCGGGTGAATGGTTGCCAGGTAGAGCTCTACCTGGAGAAGGAAACCCTGACACCCGGCTGGTGTACCGTCATATGCCCTCGGGAGCGAGAGCCGAATCCCACTGGGTCCAGGTGGAGAAGAGGTGGACTGTGGTATGGGTGGGAGAGTGGTTGGAGGAGGTGTAGGAAGGCCACCTCTCTCCCAACGGTCCATAGTATTCATCACCCTCTCCATGGCGGTGCCGAGAGCCTGGATGATAGTCGTTCCTCCATCGATTCGGACTGACTGGCTGTACCTGCTGACTCATTTACATCATCATTTACATTTTCGTCATTTAGCAGACGCTCTTATCCAGAGCGACTTACAGTTAGTGAATACATATTTTTTTTATACTGGCCCCCCCCCGTATAAATGGTGCGTGGTTCTGTCACGAGTGTCAGTGTAATGCGGTGGATCGAAGTCAGGCGCAGGGCACAGAACTCCTAGAAACGTACTTTACTGAAGTAAGTAAAGAATACAACACAGAATACATCCACACAGAGAGGAACTAACCCGCTCACCAACGACACACAAAACGAAAAACAACCACGCACAAAACACATTGGGAGCCACTGGGTTAAATAGGGAAGGCGTGATTACAATAATGGGCAACAGGTGTGTGACTATAGACAACAGGTGCAACATAGAAACATAGAACATAGATCGGCAGCAGCTAGTATTCCGGTGACGACAAACGCCGAAGCCTGCCCGAGCAAGGAGGAGGGGCAGCCTCGGCAGAATCCGTGACACAGTTTTAATGGTAATACTGTAGTATACAACTCCAAGTGTCATTAATCATCATTCCAGTGACAGTTAAGTGATTCATGTTAAGTGATAAATGTTCAGGAGCCATATACTGTAGTAAGCATTCTTCATCTTTAGCGTTTTCTATCTGCTATGGAGATGTAAGCATTGTAAAATCTAACATCCCCTCTTTCTCCTCTCTCCATGTGTCCTCCTCAGTGTCCAGGTCCCAGATGTCCTCAGAGAAGCAGGAGGCACTGATGGAGAACATGACCCGTATGGGGGACCACTCCCGGGAGCTCCAGCAGTCCCTGGGCGACATCTCCTCTCAGGCAGACCTCCTGGAGAAAATCTGGAAGCTGGAGAGCCTGTTCCAGAACCACAATGAGTCCTTACAGCAGCTGGGCCGGGCATTGCACGGCCTGGAGAGGGACATCAGGGATCTGCAGGGCCACTCCCAGTCGACAGACAGCACAGTGGAGCAGCTGGGGGACCGTGTCTCTGCCCTGAACCGATCGTCCCAGAGGAACATGAGTGGGCTGAGCAACCAGCTGGCCCAGGCCTCTGTCTCGCTGCACGACCACGACCTACTGCTGAGGAGCGCAGCGGATCAGGTGGACCAGCTCAAGGAGAGGCTCGAGGAGGTGGGATGGACGGTGGGCGCGGTCAACCACACATTCACAAGTGACATCAGCATCCATCACCTGAAGATCCAGGACCTGCAGGTGCAGATCAGCAACGTGAGCCAGGACACACGGTACATGAGGGAGACACAGGTGCAGATGGAGGAGACGCTGAAGAACGAGGTGGAGATCCTCAGCACCATCACAGAGGACCTGAGGCTCAAGGACTGGGAGCACTCCAATATCCTCAAGAACATCACCTTCCTAGAAGGTAATAACGGCCCCATCACTAATCACTGGCTAGAATTAAGTTTATGTCATGACTAACCCCCTAGAGTTGATTGACGCACCGGTGTGTCAATCTAAGTTACATAGCAAAAAAATCCCCATCAAAATCTGTCAGTTTAAGCTAGAGATATGTGTTACTGTATATCTCGCACTTTCGCGGTGAAAGGTGGCAGAGCTAGAGCGGTGTTTGTCAGACCATGACACATCCCGGAAATCTGTCTTCTCACAAAAACGTCTGTGGAATCCAAACGGTTTGACCTAGAAACTATTATGACCACTCTATGGAAAGGGGAGACTCTCACAAATGTTATCCGTTTTGCTCTACGACCCCACAGTAACCGGTACTGGTTTTAAAAAACGAATGTAAGTCTGAAGGTTGTTTTGTGCCTACCCAAAAAAAGGGGTTAAATATGTGTAAAAATATATATATATATATTTCCTGAGTGTTCCTGAGTATGTTTTGACTGTCCTTTTTGCCATTAATGAATTTGCTATTCAATGCTTTTCTATGGTCTTTAGTTGTAAAGGCCAAATTCAATATTTGATCAAATAATTTTTGGATACTGTATATATTTTTGGGACCTAAAGGGGTCCTAAAATTCCAAATAAAATAGCTAAATGATCCATAGTATGACCATTTAAAAACAATTCCTTATGTCATCTTAGCACCCCCCAGTGCTAAGATGCCTAGATAAACAGTGGTATATCTAGGCTGGAAACCATTGTGGGTTAAATTTAGAAGCCTCCAAAACCAAGGAACTCAGCCCTGTCATTAGTTCCACCTCACATCACATTTGTTTGTCATTAAGCGTGGGTTTAGCCAGGAAAGCTGCACACCTCGCCATAGTACTTGGTGTTTCTGGCCTGATGCCTCCTCTCCCTCCCTCCCTCCCTCCCTCCATCCCTCCATCCCAATGCCTTTTGCTTATGTTTCATGCCTACCTTCCAATTTGGCAGCAGGTGTACAAATGAGAAGGGAAAAAAACATATTACAAAAACACACATTTTAGCAAAGTTGAGAGGCGGATTAAGAAACTGTGATGTGTTGGTCTGAGGAGAGTGTTAGCATGGAAACATTTATAATCATCACACAGCCACTTGATTAACAGTAATGACCTCAGGAGTGACCTGTTTGCTGTTTTAGTGAAATGTCTTCTGGCTGGGAGGAGCAGTGTGTCCATTGACTTAATTCTCATGGAAATGTGATTTTCATTATATGAACATTGATCTAGCGCTATTTTCGTTATTCACCAGTGGTGAAACAAAACAAGGAAAATGTTATGTTCTTTTAGATAATTTGATAAATGGACATCCTGGTGTAAAACAATATCAGTCACCTTAAAAAGCCCCCCAAAAAGTTTTGGGGCCGCACTCTTCCTTAGAAAGCTAATGTTTTTAAATAATCTATCTATCAGCTTGATACCAAACGTGTCAAAACGGATTGACATGCAAATAGCCCATTACTAACATATGGTTTCTGTTCAGCCAACTCAGATTTGCTGATCCATTATACAGCACCACATATTGTTGCTTCACAGACAGCTCTTAATGTAAAATTTACACGGGTTGACCCTCATGTAGGATGTTTGTTTTTGTTGAACATTCTCAATTTCATTAATAGAAGACTCTAAATAAGAAGTGAGGAGTGATACCATTGATCCCACTAAAACAAACCAGTCACCACCCAATTCAATTCAGTGGTTTCTCCTTCAGGCCCCCCAGGGTGATATGACTTCTAAGTCAACCTGACTTCTCACTAGCCACTATTTCACTCTGATAGATTAAGGTTTTCCCAGTAAAGTTTCAGGCCAGGCCAGGGGATGTGGAGTGGCTCAAAGCATGGCCAGGACAGTATCTTAGGCTCTACAGATGTAGGATCTTAATTTGATCATCCTGTTGCAAGAGAACTTTCCTGCAATGCAGGACATTTTAAACTTGTAGTGTATTTGAGGTTTAATTTCCACTTTGAAATGTCAGACTTGATTTTCCCTTACGAAAAATATGTCAACTCCTACAAAAATGTCAATTAATTGTAATCCACATAATAATTCACATTTCCTGTTGCTGCAGGATTATCTTCCTGCTGTAGCAAACTGGCTCAAATTAAGATCCGACATCTGTAATGATCAGATCACACCATTATGTGAAAGGCTACTTTGGAACATGTCAGTTGGACAAAACAAGACTAATGTCTAACTATTCCATTGTGGTGTACCTTGTGTAACATGTGCTTTCCATCGTGGCCAAGCTAATTCTACAAACAAGTCTGAAGTCAGTCAACTGGATCCAAGTACAACAAACCATTGAACGATGTCCCTTAACCATGTTTCAGACTCAGATTAGAGGGTGTGGTGAAACAAGAATGACATACCAAAAGGAAACCAGTTATTTATGGGATTACACAACTTCAATAATCATATTGTCTTCATATTACAGTATATTCATCAGTTTATGTTATCTCAGGATCAACTCAATGTTTTAATTATGTTGTTTTCAACAGGGCCTCCAGGACCAAAGGGTGAGAAGGGCGATGTGGGGCCACTTGGGGCTCCTGGTGTGGCAGGCCTCACAGGGATGAGAGGTTCGTACACTGTACGGTACTGTCATTTGTCCTATTATAGCTTTCAACATACATTACTTTATTCAACCATTTTTCAACCATTTCTTCGAAACGTATCTTACTGTAATTGGCCCTGGTCACAGTTGTGAAATATGTAAACCCTCATAGACCCTCAAAGACAGATTTCCAAGAAGAATGCTGAAAGCAAGCCTCCCTTCAGGAACATGGGACATGGTTATTTGTCATAGCCATCCAAAACACTCTTCCCACCACATTCAGAATCTCAGTCATTCCACTATCCTACTTATTAACGGGTTGGGTACTCCAGTACATTACCTTGTGAGTAATGCAGTGACAATATCTTCAAATCACTGATTTATCAGGGGTTACCTAGTGAACAGGACCACCTGTGGTTCCAAACCCATAAATCCACTCTGTCTGCTAACAACCTAATAACATCCCCCCAACTGGGCTCAAAGCAACCTGGGAAAGGGAGTAAGGGCATTCCCTTAGATAGTCTTTCATGACATAATGAAATGATGAATTGGAAAATGTTATTAAGGCATGCAATCGACCCATCGTACTTAAATATCCCGATAAGATAGGTTTGTTTTCATTCTTTGAAATGCATGCCAGATATCCTGTTTGAAAAGAATTGGGAAAATAAATCCAATGCTTTGTCTATGTCCTCCCGGCAGGTTTTACAGGAGAAAAAGGCATCCAGGGACCAAGGGGACTAAAGGGCCCTAGCGGCGCCGATGGCCTACAGGGGGAGAAAGGGGATATGGGACCCGAAGGGCCCAAAGGTATGTCTGATATTATTACTGTCTGACAGCTGTAGAGTCATTAGTTAAACTATCATCTGTACCTAGCTGCCTCTTTGAACCTTACAGGGGTGCTCTCACCGATTACATCTATCTCCCGCATCCTACTGTGCCACCGTGCTCTCTCTTAGGCTCAGGCTCCAGAGAAGGTAATCCAAGGCAGATGGATGGAGGCTCAGGGTCAATTCCGTCTGATTTGTTGTGTCTCATTGACAACTATATCTGCAGGCCCTCTGCCTCCCCATCCTAACCCAAATCAGACCTTCCTAATCAGCTGAACTGCTGATTTGCTGAGCCAACCTTGCAGATAGAAATACATGACCAAAAGTATGTGGACATCTGCTCGTCGAACATCTCATTTCAAAATCATGGGCAAAAATATGGAGTTGGTCCCCCCTTTGCTGCTATAACAGCCTCCACTCTTCTGCATAGGCTTTCCACTCGCTGTTGGAACATTGCTGCGGGGACTTGTTTTCCTTCAGCCACAAGAGCATTAGTGAGGTTGGGCACTGATGTTGGGTGATTAGGCCTGGCTTGCAGTCAGTGTTCCAATTCATCACAAAGTTGTTCGATGGGGTTGAGGTCAGGGTTCTGTGAAGGCCAGTCAAGTTCTTCCACACCGATCTCGACAAACGATTTCTGTATGGACCTCGCTTTGTGCACGGGGGGCATTGTCATGCTGAAACAGGAAAGGGCCTTCCTCAAACTGTTGCCACAAAGTTGGAAGCACAGAATCATCTAGAATGTCATTGTATGCTGTATCGTTAAGATTTCCCTTCACTGGAACTAAGGGGTCTAGGCCGAACCATGAAAAACAGTCCCAGACCATTATTCCTCCTCCACCTAAACTTTACAATTGGCACTATGCATTCGGGCAGGTAGCGTTCTCCTGGCATCCGCCAAACCCAGATTAGTCCGTCGGACTGCCAGATGGTGAAGCGTGATTCATCACGCCAGAGAACATGTTTCCACTGCTCCAGAGTCCAATGGCAGCGAGCTTTACACCACTCCAGCCAATGCTTAGCATTGCGCATGGTGATCTTAGGCTTGTGTGCGGCTGCTCAGACATGGAAACCCATTTCATGAAGCTCCCGACGAACAGTTCTCATGTTGACGTTGCTTCCAGAGGCAGTTTGGAACTCGGTAGTGAGGGTTGCTACCGAGGACAGGCCGATTTTTACGCAATACGCGCTTCAGCACTCTGCGGTCCCGTTTTGTGAGCTTGTGTGGCCTACCACTTCGTGGCTGAGCTGTTGTTGCTCCTAGACGTTTCCACTTCACAATAACAGCACTTACAGTTGACCGGGGCAGCTCTAGCAGGGCAGAAATTTAACGAACTGACTTGTTGGAAAGGTGGCATCCTATGACGGTTCCACGTTGAAAGTCACTGAGATCTTCAGTAAGGCCATTCTACTGCCAAAGTTTGACTATGGAGATTGCATGGCTGTGTGCTCGATTTTATAAACCTGTCAGCAACGGGTGTGGCTGAAATAGCCGAATCCACTAATTTGAAGGGGTGTCCACATACATTTGTATATATAGTGTATGTCTCCATCTTACCATACTAATAGAGGAAAGCCAATTGGTCCAACCTTAGCCCTGAGAACTGGCTGTAGACGCCTATGGTGCCTAGACACCATAGGTGTCTACAGCCATGTCTCAAAGCCTGTCCAACCTTGTTTCTAGAAAACCTTTTCCTCTTTCGTCACCTTGTGTGTTGAAAAGCAGCACTTGTTTTGAGAGATACTCCTCTCACACATATGATTTGAGATGCAGCGCCTTATCGTATTGGTCATAGATTTGACTCCACAATGGGCCTATTCTATTTCTCCATGCTAACCAAACAGCTGTTGTGGATCAGTTTAGTTTGCTGAACTGTCCGGTGCTGGAGGCTCAAACCCCTGTGAGCCAATAACATTAAGATGGGATGTGGATGCCCTGTGCTGTATATCTGCCCTGGTCTCACAGGTCCAGCTCTGTTAGACTGACTGAGACTACAACACGCATTAAACAGGGTTAGATAAATACGAATTCAAACAACAAAGGTGTTTCGCCTTTCAGTGATGCTTGCAAAATCACCCTTGTGGAAAAGGCAGAGGTGTTGTATGGCTTTTTAAAGGAGGCCTATGAATAGACAGGTGGTTTCATTATGTCCGTTTTTCTGTGAGGTAGAGTGGTGTTTGGCAATAGGTGTTTGAACCAGAGTGAGTGTCTAAAATTTCCCAACCTACGATGAGGATGTGGTCAGCTCAGAGCACTATCCGACACTTGGTGGTTCTGTTTGGGTGCCACTGCAATTGGCCCCGTCCTGTGATTTTGAATATGAAAATACAGGAATTAAACGTGGGATAATGGTCACTTTATAATCATTGTGTTATGTTACTTTATTACAGTAACAGCTCATAACCACACCTTGGGGTTTTAGACTTGTAATTACAGAGAGATGTTCCCACAGAACTGAGTGGTAGGACTTTGAATATTCCATCAAAGGCATATCTTTAGTTTGTTATTTTTATGAATATTCTACAAAATAGTACAATAATGTTCCTTTTTGCCTTATTGTGTGGTGTTTTCTATTATCATGGACATACTTCTGGTATTACAAATTAAAAATACAACAAATCTGAAGATTTTATTGAGTGGAAATGAAGATTGAAATGGAATGATTACTTCATTTTCCACAGCCTCTCTCAAGTCCAGACAGTAAATTGCATTTATGGTGCTGGCACACTTGTAGCAATCAAGAATTTCAGATGAAACTGCAAGACTCCAGAATGTCCCTGCATCCACACTCAGACCCTCATCAGATCAACATCAAATGCCCTCTTTCAGGACACAAATGTCTTCAAGGAGGATCTACTTTCAGTCACATTTACAGTACCAGACAAACGTTTGGACACACCTACTCATTCAAGGGTTTTTCTTTATTTTTACTATTGTAGAATAATAGTGAATACATCAAAACTATGAAATAACACATATGTAATCATGTAGTAACCAAAAAAAGTGTTAAACAAATCAAAATATATGTTATATTTGAGATTCTTCAAAGTAGCCACCCTTTGCCTTGATAACAGCTTTGCACACTCTTGGCATTCTCTCAACCAGCTTCATGAGGTAGTCACCTGGAATGCCTTGTTAAAAGTTAATTTGTAGAATTTATTTCCTTCTTAATGTATTTGAGCCAATCAGTTGTGTTGTGACAAGATAAGGTTGGTATACAGAAGATAGCCCTATTTGGTAAAAGACCAAGTCCATATTATGGCAAGAACAGCTCAAATAAGCAAAGGGAAACGACAGTCCATCATTACTTTAAGACAGTCAATTCAGAAAATTCAAGAACTTTGAAAGTTTCTTAAAGTGCAGTCGCAAAATCCATAAAGCGCTATGATGAAACTAGCTCTCATGACGACCACCACAGGAAAGGAAGACCAGAGTTACCTCTGTTGCAGAGGATACGTTCATTAGAGTTAACTGCACCTCAGTTTGGCAGCCCAAAAAATGCTTCACGAGTTCAAGTAACAGACACATCTCAACATCAACTGTTTAGAGGAGACTGCGTGAATCAGGCCTTCATGGTCAAATTTGCTGCAAAGAAACCACTAATAAGGACACTAATAATAAGAAGAGACTTGCATGGGCCAAGAAACACGACCAATGGACATTAGACCAGTGGAAATCTGTCCTTTGGTCTGATCAGTCCAAATTGAGATTTTTGGTTCCAACCGCCATGTCTTTGTGAGACGCAGAGTAGGTGAACGGATGATCTCCGCATGTTTGGTTCCCACCGTGAAGCATGGAGGAGGAGGTGTGATGGTGTGGGGGTGCTTTGCTGGTGACACTGTCTGTGATTTATTTAGAATTCAAGGCACACTTAACCAGCATGGCTACCACAGCATTCTGCAGCGATACACCATCCCATCTGGTTGGGCTTAGTGGGGACTATCAGTGTTTTTCAACAGGACAATGACCCAACACACCTCCAGGCTGTGTAAGGGCTATTTGACCAAGAAGGAGAGTGGTGGAGTGCTGCATCAGATGATCTGGCCTCCACAATCCCCCGACCTCAACCTAATTGGGGATGGTTTGGAATGAGCTGGACCGCAGAGTGAAGGAAAAACAGCCAACAAGTGCTCAGCATATGTGGGAACTCCTTCAAGACTGTTGGAAAAGCATTCCAGGTGAAGCTGGTTGGAGAATGCAAAGAGTGTGCAAGCTGTCATCAAGGCAAAAGGTGGCCACTTTGAAGAATCTCAAATATAAAATATATATGTTGATTTGTTTAACACTTTTTCGGTTACTACATGATTCCATATGTGTTATTTCATAGTTTTGATGTCTTCACTATTATTCTACAATGTATAAAAATAGTCAAAACAAGAATAACCCTTGAGTAGGTGTGTCCAAACGTTTGACTGACACTGTATAAGACTGTTAACTGTTACAAAAAATTAAAATTAAAAAAAATTAAAAAAATACTGAACTTCAAATAGTGAGGCCTTTCCATGTCTATAAAGCATATGACATCATCGGACAAGCCAGAAGATGCCATAACATTTCTCTCCGCTCACTCTTAAAGAGGAGATGCAGGATGACTGTGCTTTCAGCCTCTCAATCCAATGATCTTTTAAAATTAAATCCTTTAAAACGTTAAATTGATGTTGTCTTTTGCCCTGACCCTTTTTGTCGTGGATACATCACAGAACTATTGCTATGAAGAGAGCGGCACAAAGAAAACAAAGCCCACAACAATGACGTCAATCCCAGGACATTTAGTGGGCCAGTTTGTCAGGATAATCGTAGATTACTGTGGATATAGATACTTTTGTACCTGTTTCCTCCAGCTTCTTCACAAGGTCCTTTGCTGTTGTTCTGCGATTGATTTGCACTTTTCGCACCAAAGTACGTTAATCTTTAAGAGACAGAACGCGTCTCCTTCCTGAGCGGTATGACGGCTGCGTGGTCCCATGGTGTTTATACT